CTGTCATTATTCAATAGTATTGAACAGTTTATTACATGATATGAATACCATCAATGTTCAAGTGTATAATGTATATATGACTGAGCAGCAATGATAAATATAAAGCTTAACAATTAAGTCGGTGAAGGTGTTGATCCAACTAGCATTAAATAATTTAGTCGAGCTGTTGCCACAGCTATGCAGAAAAAGAAGCATGTCAAACTGGTAGAGTCCAATGCTTGTGATTGTCCATCTGATGTTCTCAATGTGCATACAGGAGGTGCAATGTCTTGTTTCCCTCAGTGTATAAATATGCAAATAAAAGAAATGAAGAAAGGCGCCAGTTTTCACAATATATCAAATGCTGTTATAAAATATAAAATTGTTTGTTATATAAGTATCTATCTGTAAAGCTAGCATAGTAACGATTTAACCCATATCACAGTATTCTAGAATTATTAACATTTAGATAAAATGTTTATACTTATATGTTCCCAAGTTATTTGTTCTTAATTCATTTATCGCCGTGATATCACCTTTATGTGCTGAGGCGGCGTAAAGCAACCACAAATCAATCAATCAATCTAAATACTCCATTTACCAATTGTGTTTACCAAAAAAACACAATTTCGATTGACTTCAATTATGGAGATGCCATATAACTGTAACAACATAATCGTTTCTCTTTGTACATAATGCAAGGAAATATATGGTAAATAGATCATGAAATTAATTTGGCGGTAAGTGGAGTATCTGTTATAAAATATAGATATTATACTAAAGAAATAAATCAAAATTATCACATTCAGATGAAGAAATGAATGGAATATCTGACATATATATGCTATTGTCAATAACCAAGTTAGCTTATTTGAATACCAGTGCATAAATATTCAGTGTCTACTTCACAAATAATACAAGATGGTCTTGAGTTATAGCTTCCATAGGTACTGAAGTTGTGTTTCTTTTAATTACTTTACAGTTTTTCCTTTATCAGTCTTTGTGCTATTATGTTCCTTTGGTTGTATGACTCATGACGTGACTCAGTATTTTTTCATCAGCTATTTAGGTTTTTAGCGGTTCCTGTTGCAGGTGGGTCAAGAGGTGCAATTATGATGCAAAAGGTGTTTAAAGTGTTGTTTTCGCTTGTTACTGTTGTCTTTATATTTTACTTGATGTGTACTTTATTGAGAAAATGCAAACTATATGCTGTATGTACTATCAACTACAAAAACTTTTTGTTGCTGTCTTTGTCAAATTTACTAACAACTACAAAAAAAAGATCTTGTTGGCTACTATGTAGATTTATTTGTATGTAAATATTTGAGTTTTTAGTCAGATTTGTATGTTGGTGATGTATGTTTACACAGTTTTACTGCTGGATCCTAATGATTGTCACATTAACCTATTATGTCTGTTTTGGTTGCTCACCCAATTGTACATGTAGTAAAAAGATACTTGCCTAGAACATTTGTAGGTAAATCCAGTTCATCAACATGGATGGAAATATCTCTGCATGGTCACAACAAACATATGTATCTGATGCTGTTAAAATCGGCTATATCAAATATAATTCACTCTCTAATAAAGTCGCAGTTTATATTGGTCGTCCAAAATTCAGATAACATTAAAAATGTAAAATTATGCACAACACAAAAATCGCCAGCATTAAATACTCAGCTTTGTAGGGGTATTTCATAATCCAAAAGTTAAAAAGTTTAGAAGTAATATATACAAAATATGTTACTGCTTCATAATTATCCTATATAAAATTGCTTTAACACTAGTTTTGACATTTGATAAGATGTCCTAATTCCTTTTTTGTCTTTCAGCTTGTAATATTCCAGTTTAATGGATTACTATAGTCCAATGGTTCTCATAAGGAGAAATCCTTATTACTCCTCCTACACACACCTTTCCATTTGGCAGACATTTTGATATCAGTTGTTCCAAAATAAATGTGTATAGAGTCTGAATCAAAATTAAATAGTTCAAAAATCTGTATAACCTGCTTTGGTAAAGTATTAATCCGAATCACTGAAACATTAAGAAGGTTTAAGCTAAGCCACTTTTTGAGCAAAAATGATTCTTTTATCTGCTTAATCTGCATTGAAAAAACTGGACACTAAAGGCAGCATGTACTGGTTTTCAATATACAACTATTTAATGGGATATTCCTAAATGGGAGGAGCTAAACTACACCCAAGTTTATGTGCAAACAAACAAAGGATAAAGGAAAGCCAGATGCCACAAGTGGTCACTAATTAACAAAACATGTATATTTGTAATGGAACTGATGTAAATAAACCCCCTGCTAAGAACATCTGATAAACTCACATGTAGCTGATTAAGATATGATAATGAATCTGTTTCTTCTCAATAATAAAGAAAACAAAAAATCCTGGGAAAATCCTAAAATAATGACTACTGAGTGTAATGGAAATCAAACTTTGTATAAACATAACTTATATAACATATAAGTAACTATTTAAGAAAAGTCAAAAGTCTAATTCATCTTCACTAACTTACTAGAAGCATTACTTTTTTAATTGTGAAAAATTCCAAGAAGAACCTCATGCAAGTACAGCTAGAATATTCATAGATATAAACAATTTTCAATGGAAAAAAACAAAATAATACTTATTGTTGTGTAAGGTTGTAATGTTAACTGACTAGTAATGTCAGTTGATATATCATGTAAATATTACATGAAAAATATATAGCAGCTTGAATTTTTAGTGAAAAATATTTTGTTAACAATTCAAAATTTTGAGAAATTTTTTTTTTCAAATATAATAATAAATTGTAAAAGCATTCATTGGTAATTCATGTCAACACAGAAGTGCTGTTGGATGGTAATATTCCAATGGCGGAAATATCCAACAGCCGTGGCATCGACCAAATGGTTGTAAAAAAAACCAGCTATGAAACTAAGCTTATAACTTTATACGCCAGACACGCTTCCTTTTTTTTTAAGAACATTAAAGATTTACTCATTTTTCGTAACTCCATTTTCCCTTAACTTTATTAATATGAAGGTTTTCCAAATAATACAAAATGTGAAAATCCCATATTTTATTCAAATTGATAGATCGGTACAGTTAATGATAACAATTTTATCTTGAGGATGAAAACAGGTCAGGTTTATGATTTTTCGTCGGATATTCGGGCTTCCTGGGTCTTTTCTTCTCATAAATTACTTTAAAAGCTCATAAAAAGGTCATTACCGAAATTTAAAACTGCTTCTAAATTTTTTTGTGCGAATTAAGAGCGAAGAAATGCTAATGCTAAAAAAGGTATAATTCTGAGTCACCTTTTTCCTGCAATTTCACCTGGCTACATCCTTTACTCATTTAAAGAGTTGCAATTCTCTTGAATGGTTTTTTAAATTGATTACCACTTATGAAGACGACTTTTTTCTACCTAAAACTGGTGTTCTGCACATAATCCTAACTTATTGTTCCTAATAAATTCATATCGTTACTTATTAAAAAAAGGGCGTATGACATTTGCGCCAATTTTAAATTTTCGATCTTTCATTTGCGCCGATTTGATTTTTTCATTTGCGCCGATTTAGTACAGGTAAACCAAAGATGAATTTTATTTTTATTTATCATTATAAATCTCTTCCGTTCGCCAGTTGTACATATGTTATGAATGGTCAATTATAACACGTATATAACTGCTGTCCCCTGCAAGTAGATTTTTGACGTTTTCATCTGGTTCAGAACTGGTGGAGGGAAATCCAGTCTGTTACGTTAAGCACAGAGTATAGAGACAAACCAAGTGACACTGGCAAATGGTTATCGCAATTTTTCGAGCAACAATTCCTTTCCCAAAATGAAAACGAGGACTGCTTCACGTTTGTCATTATGTCTGACGCTCCTTCTGATTACAAATGTCATGCATTGTTAGACTACGTACTAAGTAAAATGTACTTATATAATAATGCTCAACTTCACGTTATGCACCTCATTTCTGGGCAGCTGCACCCATTGAAAAATAAGAGGACGAATAACGGTCTAGAATCATTACAATGATCAAATTATAACAACTGACCATATATGATACACATGTTCAAACTCTCTATTTATTTTTTAAATAGAGAGTTATATATCATTGTTCATCTTCATACTTGCCCGTTGGAAATTTTAACGTGCACTTTCTTCAAAGTGTTCACCTATGTTTATTTTCTAAAGGATATTGAATGACAATGAGACATTACTTTAATCGCTTAGACTGGCTTGTAAGGTAAGAACGTCCAGTTGGAAGTAAAATGAGCACCGTGAATTATTAAAATACAGTTCTGATTTGCGAGTCGTCATTCCTTCGTGTAGATTATACCTGTTATAATATCGCATTTACTGAAATACAACATTAAACTCAGACAACAATGCACTATATTCATGATATTTGAATTATATTAAAACAGTTTTATAATAAAATGCTCCGATGCATTTCTGGACTGAATTTCTGTCACAGATTGTATCCAAGCGAATAAAGACGTACACTGTCAATTGCTAATCATTCCTTTTCTGTACATTAAAACAATAATAACTGTGTTAACTTAGTTATTAGAATTAGGAATGAATACGGGGAAAGTATTAATGAGACTACTTTAGATAAAAATAGTTCCGTGGCCTATTTTAAAGCAAATATATGAACCTATTCCATTTATCCTCAGTTTTCTGTGGCAGTTCAAATGCCCGACCGGCTTCTATTACAAGACCTACAAAATAACGGTGTGAAACCATTTTCATAGTCTCCCGAAATAAACATTATAAGCTTGACTTATCCCGTAGGAACCCGTTTATCGTTGTATAAGAGTTCAACAAAAAGGAATCTTATATGCAGTAGCCAAGGATAATTAAGTATTACCAAACAGGAGTGAGAATAAACTGACACAACTGTTGATTCGATGACATTAATACATTCCTTCTAATTGTCATGCATGATGTTTATGCAAATCTATGTTTCTCTCAAAATATTCCATATCTCTAGATATAATGCATTTATTGCAGGATAAATCAGAACGACAAAAACAACAGAGACGTTTTATAGAATATTTGTGTGAAGTGCTGTTTAAACAAGACAAGAAAGATCATTTGAGAAAAGTGTATTTTGTTTCTAATACGGATGATGCTGATGATGTTTTTGAAACGATTAGAAAAGACATATCAAGTCAAGCTATAGGTATGCTGCATTGGGGTAGAGACTGTCCGTTGAAATGGCTTTTGTTTCAACAAGTGTTAGGAAAGCTGAAGGATAACGGTGTGCCAATTTCTACAACTGCCAAATTGTTAACAATTTCAATGCACGAGGATATTGGCATAACAACCGAAGAAGAATTCAAATCATGCCTTCAATACTGCCATGACAATGGAACAGTTGTCTACTTTGATGAGAAAACTTTGAATGATCATGTTATTTTGGAACCTAAATGGTTGATCGATGCATTTAGATGTCTAGTATCAGATAAAATGGAATTTGACAGCAGCCTAGCCGATGATTGGCATAAATTAAATGAATATGGAAAATTGACGGATTCACTTATATACCACCTGTTTAAGAAGGAACAAAAAATGAACTTTTTAAAGAACAAAATACATTTACTTGAAGTTATGAAAAAGTTTGATATCATTGTAAACTTAAAAAATTCTTCTGTTTTATACATGCCATGCATGATGAAGTCATGCTCTTTTGAAGACGTCAAGAAACAGTTAGTTGGTGACAGTCAATTTATTCATAAGACTAGCTGGTTATGTTTAGAGTTTGAGTTTCTTCCTCCAGCTTTTTTCAATCACATTCTTGTATGGTATATTAAACAGTTTTCTGTGACTGTTATATTAAAAAAAGAAAGTCGTTACGAAAGGTAAGCATTGTATCGCCAGATAGGTGTCTTTGATTTAGATTCGTCCAGATGTGAACAATTAGTAGTTTGTGAAGGATCAAATGTCATCGCCCTCCAAATATGGAGTTCAAGAATGCCCGATCGAACATATGGAGATTTCGGAATAAACTTACTTCAATTCATTGAAACACTACCTGACCGCTACAGACTGAAAATAGTCTATGAAACGCATTCAAGTGTAACGACGGAGACTTCACAATCCATAGGGTTAGAATGAATTATTTGCTATCTAAAGAATACCGTTGCTTGGAACATAAAATAAATCACACATCACACGAATTAGTAAATCCCTGGGGATTCAGTGTAGAATAACAGTAAGTAGAACTACGCATCTAATGACGTTTAAATTGCAGCTGTTTATGCAATAAATGCAATTAATGCAGAACAAAAACATAATATTTGGTATATTTTGCCTTATTTATAGTTCTGTCAGTTACATATATTTGGTTTTGCTTCCCGTCCTTTATGACAGCACCAGAATTCTTAACATAAATGACGTACGCGAACGATGTTTGATTTGTAAACTTTCAACATAATGAAAGAGTGATTATTTCGGACATTTGTTAATAATGCAAGCGTCTTTTCATTCTACCTGCTTAACGTCTTCCTCGTATTTATACAACGCACAAGTGTTGAACGACCAATTCTATTTTCAATCATAATGTGTTTCAACGCATTCGGAACCTTAATCAAATCGGAAAGTGTACCTGCATATTCTTTTTCACGTTTATCTGTTTACAAGGCTAAATACGACACTCCATTAGTATTTTAGAATGTTCTTCTTCTTCTTATTTATGAATTTATAGTCACGATATTGAAGCATTTGGTTAACAATTTTTGTTTCGAAATGTAGTTTAAAACGTTTAAGTCACAATGCGTATAGGAGCAAGACGGACTCTTTATTATTTAAAACTAGCACAATCCTATTCCCAAACTGTGGGGCAAAAGATCCTGAAGCAGATCATTTCGCTCCAAAGTGTCTCTGGACAGCAGTATGTGTCATATTTGAAAAAAAAAATCTGTGTCATAGACATATATCTTGGGTGTTTATAAGCACCATTATTTTTTTATATAATGTTTCTATAGAATATTTTGGAGCCTTAATGTTACATGGTTACTAAAGCTTGTACACAGATACACAAAGAGGTGAACTTTTGATTTGTTAACGTCCAGTGATGGTTATTACAACTAAGATGGGAAGCTGCACATTCACCTCTGACCTGGTGTGTACTCTCATTTATAAAAATGTTCATGCTATTTAAGTAAAATGTTACAAAAATGAAATATTCTGAATGGATAGAGTCTCATAAACACATTTTATGAGAAAATTGCTTTGAAATAGACAGTACCATGAATATTAATAGACATCCCAAGCCACATTAGGGAGCTTTTTCTGACTTTTTCTCCTTATTTCTTATATTTTGTTATAATAAAAACAAATATAAGTTCCTAAGTAATATTCAAATAAATATACAGTTAAAAGTAAATGAAATCATTTTGAAAGCATTTACAAAAAATTATTGACTATAAGGGAAGCGTTTTATGTCCTTCTGTGAAACGCGGCGTAAATTTATGTTTGACGAAAAGACTTATATAAACCTCCATGGAGCCAGTTAACTTTTATATGAATGGTTCATTCAGCTTGAATACTTCAATTACTCATTTATAATCAAATTGTTTTCATTAATGAGTGAAAGTTACCACAATTTTTCTTAATTATTGGTCTAAAAAATTAAGTAGAAAAAGAATAAAACTAACCTTAGAATAGAATCAATGATGACGCAATGTTAGCGTCTCAGTATGTGAAATGCATAAGTACTAATGAGAGGAATAATGGACCAAAAGTGACCTTATAATGAAGACAAACAGGTCCATTAGTGGTATTTATCATCATAGAGTCATATTTTGTAATATATTCAACAGTTTTTAGGCAGATAAGATGAATATTTGATATTTTATTGGTCCACACTTTATCCTATCATGATGCGGCTTGATTTTGTTTTTTTCGAAGAAATTTTGTTTGAATCGCTGTAGAATGATGTCGTCTTAAATTATTCTAGATTTTTCTCAAAATATTGAACTGATTATAATTCAGTAATTCTTGAAATAACCAATGATTATAACATGATTTGCATGTCTATAAATACTTGAATTGGATTGGTCAATTAGCATTTTTCCCTTGGTTTACACTTCGATAAATTACGTTTCCGAAACTATTTTCGTAATTTTAACTGTGATATATTCACGCACGATACACATGCATGCAGGGATCCCGGGATTTTCTGCAAATTGAGATTAAAAAACAAATATATAACAGTTTTTTTCTATTCTAATTCATGTAAAACAAAAAATAAATAATGTATTACCTCTTCGGATATGTATAAGATTAAATTTTAAATAATAGTCCGCAAAATTTCATGAATGGTTTAGCGAGTTGTTAATTACGTCAAGGCAAAGTATGACGTCATACGAATGAAAATATTTAAGTCCTGGGATATAACAAGAAATCTACCCTTGTTTGTTTTGTGGAAAATGCTTTTCTCCGTATGATTTTCTTAAGTCTTTTTTCCCTGCTTTCCTCTGAAATTCCAATAGTGACGCCACGAAAAAGCCGACCATGCCTGATGACGTCACATTAAAACAACGCATCGTTTTGCAGATCATTCGAAAAGAATGATTATGATTGTCTGCATATCGTCTAAAAATCATTAGAGAAACAGATTTCACCACAAAATTTCCTGCATAACGATATTTATCCACTCTCGACAGTAATAACAATAACGATATGTCAATTGATTGAATAAAAAGAAGAAAAGATGAGATCCTAATGTAAACAAAAAAGACTAAGCAAAAATGCAACAATTAAAAACAAATTATGTTGTCCTAAAAAAAGTAATATTTCCACTGCTATTCTATTTTTTTTTTCAAGTAGATAAAAGGTTTGTTCTATGTGTGGTTTCTCTATAATTATAAAAAAAACCTAAAGACGGTTATCGCCCTTTTATCATTAATTTATATAAGTGTTTGCCTCTGAGAGTCAATGATTGAACTGACAATTAGTTAAGTCATTCATTTAGGTGTGACATTCGGTTAAAGTTGTATATTCTTTTTAATATTCTTTAATGATAACATTTATATATTTTTGAATTTCTAAATCAGCTGTACATAAATCATGTATATGTACACAGATCTCAATATTTTTACCCAGCTTTATTTTTATTCAGGTTTCATAGTTTTTTTGTTTTTTTTTATAACTTATAGTGATTCTGCTTAAGACAAATAATCAGGGACACATTTATGCTATATTTCAATGATACGATTCAGTATTCAAGAGGGAATTATTTCTCCACAAAGCAGTATATATTTTAATCTTAAATTGATTATTAATAATAAAGATTAACAAACTAGCATAGTTTTGGCACTTTACAAAAACACATTATACATGAGATTAAAAAAGCAATAACAGTTGAAATAAAAGCTAATCAACAGCAAAAAAAAAAACCAAAATATTTACGTATGTTAGAGCAATGAATAGCGTTTCAAAAATCCTGTTAAAATTTTACATTCTAACAGTATGTTTTAACATGTAGATGGAGAAACATGGTTGGTACTTACAGGGTTTCAAGTATTATAAAATGTTTATTTTGTGAACAAGCTTTCAGAAAAAAAAGGAAAAAACAAAAAAGACTTCTGATTAAATTATTTTGTCCCTTGAGTTGGCAGACCACCAATTCAACAACTACGATTTAGAACGTACATGTAAGTAAAAGAATATTTAAATATATTGTTAGGTTTTGGTTATTTAAAGGCCGTACGATGATTTATAGTTGTTCTCTTCTAGGTAAGTTGGTCCTTGATGTATAAATATCACATTAGCAAGCATACCACATTTTCGCTGTTTTATAATGATATCATATATATAGTACGCACTCTCTTTAAGGTTCAGCATAATTTGATTGGACGTGCATAATGGATGTGTGGCAACACACATAATTATGTTTTATAACTATGAAACTCAACTCTTGTGTTTTTTTTTTGTCATTTATATATGAATCCACGTATATTTGTACAGCCAGGGATAAATGAATTAAGTGTAGATACCTTTAAAAAAGGCATTACCTACAAAGTGAAAAAATAAGATTTTGTTTGTTTAATACATTGTACATAAAAGCCTAATTATGAAATTAGATTTCGCTATTTGAAGTCAGTTTTGGTTTAATTTTGTCAAAATAAGCTTAAATACATCCATGATCTTTTATTGTTTATATAATCAATAATTCAAATAATTTGAATCTGTATTCAAACGAACTTTAATTGCAACCTTAATGGGGATGGGCTAAGCATGTCAAGAATGTCAA